TAGTTGACAAAACTTATCATTGTATAAGCCATTCAAGAGTTGTAAAACAGAAATGAAAGAAACTGTATAATACCATTCAACTCACAAGAAATTATTTCGGACCATTTCAACAAAAAATTCTTTTTAAAATAAAGCTTGCATCAAAACCTTGAATTTATTAACCGTAAGCATCACCGGCTTTAGCTTCGTAAAAAGTTTTGCACAAGAATAACGCAGCAAATCTCAGGTAAATTTTGAAAGAATGACAACTAAAAACAACTAAAACATAATGAAAGAATACAGAAGTACTTATTAAGTTCAAACACTAACTAGTACCATTCATCTAAAAAAATTATGAAGTCTAGATAAGACTAGTGTAAATGCGGCTAGTCCAGCTAAACCAACCAGAAAACGAAAATGTTCAGTTGTCGAGACCAATTTTTTGTTCAATTAGCGTAGCCTATGCGTAACCGCTGTAAAGACAATAGAGTGGAATTTAAAAAAGAAAACCTTGACTAATCCATTTGGCTCAGGTAATATGAGTAAATTCGAATTCAAAAACATCAGTCTCTTACTTGCTTACAGCGTAACTAAAGTCTAGAACATGCCAGATACGATCAAAAACCAACTAACTGTAAAGATATTATTTCGCAACATTTTCTATTATTTATTGGTGCCATTAGGCCGCTTTTGTAAATAAGAGATTTTTTAAGTTGCTAAACTGTGTTTCCATAGCGCATACTGTCTTTGCTCTTTAGCGTGAAAAAAAAAAAAGACGATATTTACTCATTCATCTGCAAAAGTCGTAAAAATGTGAATACCTGTATGTATAACAGAAAACGATTAATCGGCTTTTCAAACAGGTGCAAAGTATTTACTGATAAATACAGCAAAATATGGGAAAACTGAACATAATTAAAACATACAATGAAAACTATTCCTATCCTAGTTTGAGCCGTTTCTAGAAGCAAAACAGATTCTATTTCAAAGAAAAAATTTCAATTTTACAAGTAAAAATACACTGAGCACTGAGAGACGACAAACAAAGGCATATAAATATAAGCAAAAAAAAAAAAGACTAAAAGACAGACCATATAAAGAAAATGATACAATTACTGAACACGCGATTCAACTCATTTTCCTTCGGCTCCTAAAGCTGTTGCAATTAACAATTCGTTTCGACGATCCTTAAATAACTCCAGGTTTCTGGGATGAGCTGAGAATTAAGATATACATTGATAATCGAGTACTCCTTTTTAACTTGAATATAAACAGGAAAAAAACCGATTTAACAGATTAAGAAATAAATCAGAACCTAATGGATATAAATATTCATAAAACTTTTGTGTAGAATTTGGAATGGAAACTACAGGGAACTTTTCAGTAAAAAAATTCTCAAAATCATATTCACTAGTCTATTTAAGTATATATTCAAAACGAAAACGAACATTCTTACTGCTGTTATCGTTATCACCACTGTTATTATTATATGTGTAAAACAGAAATTTTTTGCCAAACACTGCTATGCATTTTCATCGACGGATATAATTTATTTGATAGCAGATTTTTTATAACTCAATCATCCCCATACTTTTCAGTATTTGAAGAATAAAATATGAAGTAATACCTGGTGTTTCAGTGTTGATCAAACAACGCGTATTTACTAAACAAAAAAAAATAATAACAGTAATAGAGAATGAGATAAAATTCGTTTTTTCATAAGCAAATTACATTGTTTAATATATTAACTGCAACGGCGCATTTGTGTTTATGACATTTTATGGATAGAAATTATTGAACAAACATTTTAACGCATTAATATTCAGCTGCAAACTTTAGCAATTTTTAAAAATTGTCAAAATGCCAACTTGCGATTTTAGCAATTCCTTTATCGTCGTTGACTTTATCTGCCTTAATGCCTCCCAAAATTTCACTTTTCTTTTGATTTTTTTTTTTTTTTTTGCTGCTTTCCCTACGGTTTCCTTAGTCTTTGGGTTATCCAGACAGATTTAACAGTAAATTTTGTTTCTGGTCATTTATAAGTTTTGTTAAACTGTCTTGAAGTAATCTGAAGTATTGCACATTGTTTAAGAGTGACAAACAGAAAAAAGAAACACAGATCGCATTTCTAATCCGAAGAATTGAACTTTTTTTTTTCCATTTACTTCTTGTCGTCTAATTGCGGCGAAACTGTGAAGAAGTCGTTTAAAAAAATTCTTTTGAATCTTTAAATGTTTTAATAAAAAAACCTCTGCGCTAACTTTGCTCATTCGTTCTTCGCTGAACATCAGGTTGAGTTTTTTGATACAAATTGTACTACAATAATGGAGAATAAGTGGTAGTGAAAAGTATTTAAAGGGGAAGAAAAGACAAATACGTATATTGATTTTGAAACTATATTTTTCAGAGTTCATTGGTCTTTAAAAGGTTTGAAAGAACATT